TTACCATCCTTGACACCCAACAGAGCATACAACCCAACAATCAGTTGCTCCAAGGGACAAGGATATAGGGAGCTTCTTCTCGAAGACTGAAGATCAGGTGTACAATTTGTCAACCTTGTTACCCAATAGAGTACGCAACCAATTCTCAACTACTCTAAAGGGTGAGGATACGAGCAAATACACTTATCCAAGAGAAACAACACAGAAGCACCAAAGAGATAAAGAGAAGACCCGGACGAAATGTCTACGTCTTTACTTGCCTTTGGAAAAGCAACACATTACTATTCTAAAGGACAAGTAAAGAGGGGCAGCTGAAGATACCCAATTTCGTCTGGGGGCATACAAACAAAGAAATGGACCTTTGTTAGGAAGGGAAGGAGTTCCTGAAGCATGCAAACAATGAGATAGGACATTAGAAGGCCTAAAGCCCAAATAAATTGGTTTTAGTGGCCTAGAACGGGTTGTTCCAAAATCAGAACGGACCGTTCCAATTCATAAAAAAGGCCTAAAAGCCTAGTCTGGAACGAGCCGTTCCAAAATCAGAACGAGCCATTCCAAACCAGGCAAAAGGCCTAAAAATAATAGGCTGGAACAGGCCGTTCCAAAATCAGAATGGCCCGTTCCAAACCTAAAAAGGGTTAAAAAAACCTTAACCGAAACGGGCCGTTCCAAAACTGGAACGGGCCGTTCTGATATATTAAAAGGAGCCTAAAATTTGTACCCAGAAGGGGCCATTCTCATTTCAGAACGACCCGTTCTAGGGTGCAAAAATAATACACAATGTTCGGATCTGGAACGGGCCGTTCCGATTCTAGAACGGGCCATTCCGGCCCACGCCTAATGCCTATAAATAGAAATCTCGGCCACAGTTCTCAAGGAACCTCCAAAATTTTGTCCAGCACTCCTTAGAGCTCGAAATTTCTCCCTTTTTTTTCTCTCTCTCTCCTATTGTATTTCTTGAGTATTGTGAGGCAATTGTAGTGTGAAAGGTTGTCACAAAGCACCTAAAACCTCTATAGTTTAAGATCCAATAAAGCTTGTTACGAGGTATTACTCATCAATCTCTTGTTCTATCTTTCTCTTTTTTTATTTTACATATTACTATAATAAACGTAATTATGTAGATATCTTAGGGGTTCGCCGTGTAATTTAATTTTCATGTAAATAATCATTAATAAAGGGGATTAAATATTTATACTATTAATTCTTATTACGTTATCTTCATCATAGGGTACCGATTTAGGGCGTTGTAGGGGTGCTTTTAATACCTGCCCTACACGTAACCGACCCCCGAACCCAATTCTAGTTATCAAGGTCATTATTGGACTTTTAAAAATATTTTATTTTTCCAATGTTTTGAGTAAAACATTGGTGGCGACTCCATGAACTCATTTTTCCAAAACCATTAATTAAGGATTAGTCTAGTGTCCGGGCATTCCTTAATTGATGAGATCTTTAAAAGGATGTCTAACCATAGGTCGCAAGATCAGAAATTCTCGGGTTGCGACAAGGCTTAGGCCCAAGTAGAGGGCACCTAGGTTGCATGGTCTTATCATGCACCTAGTTGAAGCTTAGTCAAACCCATAGATTCCATCCTTGGCCACCAAGTAGCATCTAGGGTTAATTTTGGTTTCATTTGAAGTGCATTTGGCCTTGGATTTTTGGCCATGCACTCCCCAAATGCAACCCTAAATTCTCCCTCCCCTATAAATACCCTAAACCATGCACCATGTAAATAATTTAGATTATATGAATTTGAAAGAGCATTTCTTTGCCTGAAATCCTTTCCTTAGTCACTAGGTTATTTCAACTAACCTATTTCATTCTCCACCCTTGGAGAGAGAAACCCTGGAGTGGCCTCCATCTTCACTTTGGAGTGATCCAACCTACCTTGAGAGCACCCCCACCTTCACGCCCAAAATCTTTTCACCATAAACATCCACCTCCATTTGAAGACTAGCTTCCCCCCTTGGTGTGCCTTGATCCTTGGGCAAGGACTCTCTCCCTTGAATCCTTCTTCATCCATGGAAGGGAGAACTCCATCAGGGCCTATAACAAGGTCCGTGGCTAGGAGAGTAGAGGAAGATGAAGAACACACCACACCAAAAGCCATGATCATCATGTGTGTGAATTTTGGACCCTCTGCTTAGTTTTTTGGTTTCCTTTCCTATTTTTCCCTTGTATTTTAGGGTATATTAGATATTAGGATTTTATTTTGTGCTTTTATTTAGCCTTTGTATTATGGGGCAAAATTATGAAGTTAGATGAGAAACACATAGAAGGGGGGGTTGAATATGTGAACAAAGAAATTTTAGAATCTGCCCGTTGCAAGTGTCGATTGTAGCAAATATAGTCGTTCATCACTAGTTCAATCTTCTCATTTAATGCTTGAGTGCTTGTATTAAATGTTGTTTCCTATGATAGACCTTGCGTAAAGTCTTTTTTGCCTTGGTAGTAGTGTCTAAATTTAGTAGAGACCTAGAAACCATTTTGTCCTTTTCTGGTCACATAACTGTAGAGTGTTGTCCATTTCAGAAAAAGTAATTTACTTTTTCTGACACATGCATGCTTTTGCTTTTGCATGCTTTTCTTCTTCTTCTCTTTGATCACGCGTTTTACGTTGAGATCTTTTGTGTGGTTGTAGACGATGCCTTGATTTGTCCTGTGAGACTTGATGCTTCGTATGCTTTTATGGGAGTCTTCGCCTGCGTCTAGTAATCGATGTGCATCTCAAGCCTTGACTTTCTTCTAAGCATTAGTCATTAATGCTTTGACTTTCTTTTGATCTGGTCAACTTGTATATGAATAGACTTTCATTTTCTTCCGAAATGCTTATTAGTCTGTACTATTCTTCATCTAATTTTATTGACTTCCATTTTTGTTTGACCAACTTCCGTTGGAGTTTTTTTGCTTTGACTTGTGTTTGTTTGATGCTTGAAGCTTTGTTTTGACTTTTCTATATAAAGCTTTTGTCTGTCGTCTTGTATCGTCTGATGGATATGCTTGTTCTTCATTTTTCCTGTACTAATGTTTTTCTGAAATAATGGCACACTTGTTAGAAATAACAACATATATTATATTTGTCATATCCAAAATCTTACTTGGAATTTCTTCGTCTTCATCTGACTTAACAATCTCCCTTTTTTTGAAGATGACAAATATAATTGATTAAATAGTTTCAAATAAACATAGTAACATAATCATCATAATCATAATCATTTAAGTGGCTGCGTTATAGCAAGGCTATACTCCCCCTTAGTGTATGCTCTCCCCCTTAGTGGATTGACTCTTATTTGATTAATTCTTTTCAATTTCTCCCCCTTTGTAATCATAAAAAAAAATTCTAGACGATATACTAGGCGAGATAAGGCACTAAGGGAAATATGGAACATATTAATATATCAAGAGTATAACGCAGAACGCTTAGATATTAGGACAATAAAAAATTTATTAAATGGAATAGTGAGTTTACACAAAAAAAAATACATTCAAAAGAAAGAAATTACAATTAATTTCCCTCCTCTTCACATTACTAATCTTGCACATGCTATTCTTTCTTCCCAAAATGATCATCAAGATGAAGGTGGATCCTTGGAGAGCTTAGATGCAATCAAGTTGAACAATTTGTCAAACTCACTGTCCAGATCTGCTTTGAACATGTTAAATGCCTCAATAGAGACATACTGTTGTGTTGATGTAGAAGCGGATGGAAGCTCTTCCATAGGAGCAGATGCTGAAATTGGCTTAGTACAGATTGACTCAGAAGTTTGTAACCTAGATGATGTCACTTCAGAAGGAACTGTCGCCACCCGCCGAAATGGACCTATGGCATTCGCGACGATGGTTGGACTCCTTTTAATTTTTGAAAAGTGGTGGATTGCTAGAACGACTTATTCTCAAACTGAGACCTCATCGAACTAACAATTTTATTAAAATGATTCACCAATCCATGTTAATCCCAAGCGGGACCCTCCATGGGCTAGTGGTTTTCACAAAAGAAGGGTTCTTGGAGTCGCCACCAATGTTTTACTCAAAACATTGGAAAAAGATATAAGGCAATTGATTTTTATAAATCAACTTCGGCCATTACAACCAGAGTTGGGTAAGGGAGTCGGTTACGTGTGAGGAAGGTGTTAGCACCCCACAACGCCCCTTTAGGGTTCCCTATGACGGATTATTTCATAAATAACAGTGTAAAATTACTAAATTACCCCTATTTATTATGAACGATTACGAATTAAATATTTACATGATGGAAAGCTATAAACGTGTAATGCAACAATCAGAAAGCAGTAAATAAAAGCGGTAAAAGAAAGGATTTGGATAAGAAACCTTTGAAGCGTGCTTTTATATATTCAGATGAAGTCTAGGAGGCTTTTTGGCGCTCCTTCCCACTACAAGCTCGCTCGCTTCTCTCCTAAAAGATAATTTTTACTAT